TGGAAGAGGCGCGGAGGGTGAACGGTGGCAGATGGAGAAAGATACGCGGAGGGTGAACGGTGGCAGATGGAGAAAGATACTAGCCTGAGCGTTCTTTCTGGTACGTCATTGAGGCGTCGAGAGTCCACCACCCGGCAATCACCGGGCACACCACAGCTCACGACTGCCCACCGCACGCCCGGGACCACCACAGCTTACACGCCGGATACAGACACACACAGAGACAGAGAGAGAGAGAGAGAGAGAGAGAGAGAGAGAGAGAGAGAGAGAGAGAGAGAGAGAGAGAGAGAGAGAGAGAGAGAGAGAAAGAGAGAGACAGAGTAAGCCGTGCCCGCCACAGGGTGCGACCATACACGAAGCAGCACATCCGACCGAACCCTAACGCCCGTACCAAGAAACAGGCCGAAGTAACGGACGAGGGCAGAAAGGCGGTAGGACTGACCTTCGGGCCTAACCCGATGAGAAATCTTTGTTCTGGGTCGTCGGGCCCTACTTGACCGACGGCCTGGATTTGGGCACGGTCTTAAGATCTCACGATCGCATCTATCCAGGCCGTCGATCCGGTAGGGCCCAACGGCCTCGATCACAGATTTGTTACTTTTTTGCACACAATCGCGTCTATCCAGGCCATGCATCCAGTAGGGCTAGACGGTCCAGATCACAGAATTGTTACATTCTTTCAGCGATCTGGGCCGTGGACCGGTAGGACCACCGGCCGCCCGGATTCGAGATTTGTGATGCTAGTGATTTTCATAGTGTAGGGACATGTTTGACACGGTGCTGATATTGCTTGCAGGAATTGGACCACCAGTTCACAGGAGAAGTTCACAGGAGCCTAAGTGGCAAAGGTACACGCGGTTAATAGGTGCTGTCATTTTCGCCCAATTTTTCACCAATACTGCCTTATGATTGCCTTGATTTTTTGCTTTTTTCTTGATTTCTTTTTTTTGTGTGATATTTATGTGCTTCACAGCAGCTTCAGGGTATATCTACTATCTCATGTATTCAGTTTGGAGTGTTTGGACATTTTTTGGACCATTAACGGAAAAGTGGGCAAAAAAATTGACTTCGTTGAACGCTTATTTGAATTCGGAAAACATTTTTGAGACCAACGAAATAGGACCAGAGTCCTATCGCGTTATTCCATGCTAATATGTTCAGAGCACAGGCCTGCTTTGAACACTCTATTTTTTTCAGAGTAACAGCGCCGGCTCTGGATCCCAGCCAATAAAGGCAAGGAACGCATACCCGTGTTAGCATTTTTTATCTTGTTTTTCTTTTGTCTTTTTTTTTTATAATGTTTTTATTACGAGCCTGCATTGTTTGTTTTCAAAATTCTCCACCACTTCGCTTGTGGCAATGCGCAGAAAAACACCAGATTTTGGGCCTTCCATTAATCATCTCTCCAATGGTAACTTCGGAGGCTCACCAGCATCCAACCTTTTTTTTCATAGCGGCCTTCTGCGTTCACTACCAGCCCAGGCCCGGAGCATCATGCTGACTTAGCTTCAGGCGAACTGGTGCTTTAAGTGTGCTCAGTATGGGCTGGCACAGTTTTCATTAATGAAATAGATAAAAGGTTATAGAAAGACATTTCGAGGACAAAAAATAGAGATACTCACCTCCCGATGGGAACCAGAAATGCCACCTGTGCCCACGGTTACTGACGAGGGCACCAGCAGATCACGGTGGAGAGTGAGGTTCAGTGGAAACCTGACCATCTTATGCACTTTCCCCACTCCCTGGGCATCATAGCTAAACCTCTTCAAATGAAGCACAAGAACTCTGGGAAGCTGCAGTATTCTCACAGACTTCGAGGCTGGAACCTGGTTTCAACCAAACACGCAGAAAAGGCAGCAGCTCATTAAGATATTCAAACTGCAATGCAAATTCAGATTGCCATTCTGTCACTTCATTTACATGCACCTCCCCTGCCACTGGAAGCAGGATCCAACACAAACAGTGAGTCCTAGGACCAGGCCAATGAGATATACATCCACGACACAGTTACAGGATTCAACAGCTCACATGTCCTACTCATGACATCCATGACTACTCACGACCTCCGTTGCAAATTGAATTGCATCATCCTCTGGTTTCCCACAGAGAGAGAGAGAGAGAGAGAGAGAGAGAGGGAAAAGATCAAGATCAAGCATGCAAGCCGTGTGTGCACGCAGGCGCAAGAGAGAGAGAGAGAGAGAGAGAGAGAGAGAGAGAGAGAGAGAGAGAGGAAGGGGAGGAAATAGGGATAAAGTGGGGGGGTGTAAAAGAGACGCCACACCTTTTGTCTTGTCAAGTCTCACAGGGATAAGGGTGTGGGAGAGGGATGGAGAGAGAGAGAGAGAGGGTCCTGCTCCTTTTCATTGGCAGCATGTACTGCAGAGGATGCATAATCCATCTCCACTCTTCGGTTGATAAGTCTGTCCAGACCATCCAGGCGTCCATGGGATCCATTAGGAAAGCAGATGCAAAACTCCTACACCTCCCAGACATTCGAGGCATATGACAAACAGACAGCTGCCAAACTTCAACCAAATTTGATCGACTCAAGGTTCTGTGGGCATGTGAGATACATTTGACCACTCCAAGTCTTCGGATTGCTCTGCAATCTTTCACCATATGGATTCCCAGTCCCATTTGCCACTTGGTTTCCAAAATTAGTGCCCAAATAGGACCAAGTTTTTTTAAGTTCCTTGATTCTAGTTACTGGAAGTTTTGGGGGAAACCTATGCCTGGGTGACATACCGCCACATGGGCATGGAATACTTTTGCCATGCGATGATGCAAAAGAAAGACTAGCTCGACTGTCAGCATATGGGGATCAAGCATGTCCATATATCCACAACTGATTCCAATGGTAAGCTGTGGCCATAGCAATGCGGGCAACATGGGCCAGAAAAGAAAAAGATTTGATGAATCTCACCACACATACCTCTGCCCTGCCCTTGGTTTTGTATCCGTCGAGTGTTTCGCGTGCTGTAAAATGGTGCAGCGCATCTTCGACAGTTTTTACAGATTCAGGCATGATATCCAGCTGAAGCAGCATAAACGGCTGAACGGTCGCTGATGGCTTGCTACCTGTTGCACATGGCCAATGGTTTGTCATCAATAAAGAAGCAAGGAATAACCTGCTGCTGCCAGACAGAAACAACAGCCTGCCGCAAAGGAAAAGGAAAAATGAACAGGCACCCACCAGCAGAGATAGTGGCCACAGGCCCAACACCGAATAAGGGCATACCCAAAAGAGGAGAGAAAAATCACGACACTAACCAACCTCAAGGAAAGGATTAGTACACATTCTGCCTTCATCCATGATGGCATTTACCACATAACAAAGAGACGTGACACAGAAAGCAAACATAAGGAGGATTCAGTCCCCCAGTGCAGAGGTAGGACACACAACCACACCATCAAAACGTTTCCGCGGATGTCAGGTCATGCACATGGGAATGAAACAGTCAAATACATAAGGTTCAACAGAGACGGAAAACTAAATAACATCACGCAGGGTGGCAGAGGAGAACACGTGGCTGAAGGTACTCTTCACCCATGCATGGCTACATCCATCCATGTAACTCATCTCTGTGCTGACAATCTTCTAAGAAACGATCGCAGTGCAACCCTCGCAATGGCACCACAGCCAAGCGGCCAGGATATTAAGGCAATCATTTTTGTAAGAATTTGCAAAGGTGGACATCGCACCGGGACAGAGCAAGTGAGTGCAGATGCTATAGACCAATTCGCACGAGAAGATGAAGTCGCTACATACGCAGAAACGCGAATGGGTGTTTGCATGGGCAATTGGCACAGAGGAAAATTCCAGAAGGCATGCAAGGGGTTCTGCAGCTGATGGCTAATCATTGTCAAATCGGAGCACTCTCCCATCCTGCAGGGGACATACCGCATGTGATATAAATCATACTTGCGGCGCACCAGCACTGTGCCCTGCGTGGTGCGCTGCGCAGTGCGCGGACCCAGGGTGCGCGCGCACCGGCGCGCGCCACACATCTGGGTGCGCTGCGCAAGTCTGGTGTGCTGCACGCATGTGCGCGATGTATATTTCCATGTTCTAACGGTAGATTCATTTGATTTTGTTCTCTCTCTCTCTCTCTCTCTCTCTCTCCCCCCTCCCAACTTCTTCCACCGCTTCCGACCATCCCACCTTCA